GTAGAAGTTCAACCCTTGGAAATTTAGATGAGAAAAGTGTTATCTCTAAAAGCACGTCAACGAAAAAGTTAAACAAGAATGGAGGGAGTGGACAGCCCAGACGAAACCCACTTGACATAATCAATTCTGATGACAGTTCGCCATAAGCTCTCACTCAACTAGTTGTGTTCGAGTAGAGAGCCTTTACAAGGTTAATGTACTTCTTTGGTACTCCTTCCAATGACAAACACTGCCATAGAACCTCACGATCAACAGAGTCGAATGCTGCTTTAAGGTCGAGAAATACTACCATTGTGGGGCATCTGAACGTGTGTCTGTGTTCTAGAACCTGACGTAATGTGAATATCTGGTCTATACAACCATATCCAGGTCGAAAACCAGCCTTGTTTTCTGTAGTCAATTGACTCATGAACTCAACTATTAAATTATTAAAAATATCCAAAAAACCCCTTTCTGATAATAGTCATCATATATTCACTAGTGATTGGCTTCAAGAGGTATTTCCTGGAGTTCTAGTGAGAAGTAGTGACTAGTGGAGTTCAACAGGCTCTGTTGTGAGATCGTAAATCACAGATGACAATGGTGGACGGTGGCTCAAATTCGTGGATTGGTTAAAGTTAGACAGTCTGGATGCCAGCCATCTCAGTGGTCTAGTGGTTGAGCGTTCGTGTGTGAAACTGATAGGTCATGGGTTCGGATCCCGTGAAGTAGGATAGTGGATGAGCACTACTGAGGAATCCCATAGTAGGACGAGAAGGCCGTCCAGTGCTTCCAGGTTTTCCATGGTCGTCTAGTTTCAATTGACTCATAAACTCAACTATTAAATTATTGTAATATCGACAAAACCCCTTTCTGATAATTATTGAGTTGATAGGTGTTGACTTACGACTGAAAATTATACAAAATCTATGACGTAAATATTCATTCTCATCAGACCTGTTGGGTTAGTAGCCGATGAAACCATTTTGACCTCTATTGTGGCTTCAAATAATGACAATAATGTAACGTTGTTTCTCATTAGTTTTTCCGACTTAACACGTTTTGTAAAAACGATACACCCAAAGTTGAAATACCAGTGTTTAGGACACATATTACTGGTATTCATATGAAGAGAAAAACCAAACAAGAGTATGAACGAAGATAGAATGATCTTTCTATTGATTATGGAATACATGAATCACTGTACCAGCTCATATAGATTTACACAATGATTGATAAGTAATAAGCAAAGTACATACTGACTAGTACACAAATATGTATAGAAACTTGTATGGAAGTGAATGACTATATGCTCAAAAACGAGTACAATGTGATTTACAGTGAATAATTTCTGGTTAGCGGTTTCTTAGCGAGTTAGTTTTCTACGGGATCGGGTCGCTAACCCTATGAACAACCCTCCTTCTTTATCGAGGCTTGGGACCGGCAGTAGCCCCCAGAGGGACTCCAGGCGGAGTGACACATTAAACAGCCTGCTTTTTCCAGTTTACACATAGATGGATGGAAAGGAGAATAACAGCAAAGAATCTTGTGCATATACTAGAAAGAGTTCAGAAAGCGCACATGGTTATCAGAAGCTTACATCGATTGTGGTATAAGTAAAATGGTTGTTGAACAATAAAAAATATCATCCACAAGTTAATTCTATTTTAATTCATGTTTGTTAGAATAGCGGTAGTTTGGAAGAAATCTAACGGTGAACAAATTAAAAAGTGGTATCAGTTCATGAAGTTTTTATCTGTTGGTCTTAGTCGTGTTAGAAGGTTCAGATTAAAAGGTTATAGTCAGCGCGATCACTAGGTTGATACGTTGGATGAGACAGTTTAAATTGTTCACAATGGGATAGATGCACTCATTCTTTGTTTTCCCTTATGCATTGCGTTGGAGAATGATCCACACTTTTATTCCCAGAATTCATTTTTTATTCTTGAATCGTATTGTTTAGACCTAAAGTTTTGTACTAATGCTGATACTCCTACCATCCGACGTGCAATGCTAACCGGTGTTGGAGATGGTTGGAAGAAAGTTAGGGGCGGCCAATTCAAAACGTAGCATCAGTGCTTGAAGTCACTAACTTCTAGTCTGAGCCATGTTGGGAGATGCAGACTACTTGGTTGGGGTTCGCATGACTGTCGTAACCAATGGTTAGAGACTCTTGGTGACATGACTCAGAATCGATCACAATGGCTTAGGTCTATACACTCTCTGTCTTCCCTTAAACTAAGAGATTAAAATCGCTTCATATCTTTCTTTCTACGAACTAATTTCTTCTTCCTGCACTATATCCTTATATGCAATCTTTCTTTTATATATTACCACCTCTGAATTAACTACTTTTATGAATCCGGTGTTCATCTAGTTGTGTTAATGAGGTATGACATATGTGCACATATTTGCCTGGTCTTACGTTGTAGCTGACTGACTCCTAACATCTCTGAATCTTTAACACTTGGTTAGATAATTTTATCCCGCAGTACTATATTATGACAATTTGAACTGTTGCATGCATGAGTCAGGTTCCACGTGATTGAATCCGATTCGCCAATAAAATCGCTAGCTGATTTCCAGGTATTTCCTGTTTTTTAACGAATATATTATTGAAACGAAATTCTGAGATGAACACTGAGCCGAAAAACATTTGAAAACTATCTAGTTAAGTACATATATATGAAAATCTTTTAAAAATAAGAATGTAATCGAAAGACAATATAGTTATATTGTTGTAACGCGTGTGACTGCAGGTTATTGATACGCAGCGTTTATATCGATCGATCGGTTACAGTGACACGTAAATACGTACGAATGACCTAGTGTCCTGATTGGCCCTGCTTCCCTGTCTATCCCAACCAGTTGAGTCCAGAACGAAAGTCACAGCCTCTGAGATATGAATCATTATATTTCAAACACACTCTGTTTATATACTAACCAAGCAGACCACATCATACCATAAAAATAGGAAACAACATTTACACAATATTAAACAACTGAAGCAAATATCGACCAATAGGAAATGTACATTTAACGTCCAAGGACACCATTGGACTTGACACGATAATTATTGGCATATTCCTCTGCATACCTAACATATATATTATGCTGAAAATTCATTCACGTTCTGTTTATGAGGTTCATATTCGCGTACTTTCCTCTCGGTCACGCTCTATATGTGAGGGCTGGTAACACTATCTAGTTTTCAGAACCATAGTATGTGAATTTAGATTCAAACCTACCATTTCGTGGTTTGACCGCTGAGCTACTGCTTCACGTTATACTAGTGGACATAAAGCGTAACACAACTTAAAATGTATTAAGATAGACTGAACTTTTAGTGACATGTCTGTATTCTCAGTAACGGGAACTAGAATTGACATCAAAAGAATACTATACTGTACTGCTGAGCTAGAATGATGTTAAACGTAATCAGGCAATACGCAACAAGTAGTAAAGTTTATGGTGTTTGTACCCCTTGACCGAATATAACTTCAATCTTCAAAGAAATGCTTGTGTTTTCTTCTGTTTCTATGATCCTCTTGATAACAGTTAATCTCGATTTCAACATTCTGAATCTTCATTAACCAATAATAATTTCCCTATCAAGCTTGTTGACGTACATTCAAGCCCCTTAATAAAACTATTATTAGTTTGCCTAATAAAAAAATAACGTTTTAATGCCTTTATTTATTCTACATCACTGCAACCACATTTAACCGACCGTAGTTGCTACCTTGAAGTGGTGTTCGGGCTTGCCCTTTATGATGAACCAGTCGAGCTATACTGGTTGGAACAAACATTCTTCAAGGTCCTACCATGTCAGACAGGTCGGTTAAGGAGCGGTAAGACTAAAAGCAACAACCGCAAGGTCTGAAGGCAAATTCTTACTGCTTAATGCACAGAGGTGTGACAGCAGTAAGGTGTTTCCTTCAGACAACCAGCATAACAGTGATGCTGCCTTCCCACAACGAGGGGTGGGGTTAGAAAAGGTCGACTCTAAAAATGCACACCTCACATTATCCCACGGATATCCGTCTCCGGCGATAAGGTCTCAACAAGAACGGAGCTGACACGAAAATCACCTACAAAAAGGCCGTGTGTGACCGACTTCAGGCAACTGTCCTTTGGGCATTGCGGTCACGCTCTCAGGTCACTAAGACCACCACTAACCCGATTTTCTTTTCAAATACTTCCAGAAGATCCCTTCCACGGTGTGAGCAACCGGGAATTGATAGCAGCCTACATACCTCTAACAACACTCAAGACCATTATTAATCATTTTGGAACATAAGTAAGAATGTATTCAGTTTCCGTATAGCCAATGTTTCAATAAACCTTAGTATACGTCCTGAAAGGCTTTTGTATAACACTACAAATGCTGACTTGATGTCAACCTTCTGACCAGTCTCAATCAAATGTTTCGCAATGGAGGATGATGTGAGTCTATCATGTGATCTTATTTGACCATTGAAACTCATCTGTTTTTGCAACCATTTTGGTATATGTTCATTAACCCTTAACTGCAAATCACGATTGCTCCTTCCTATGTACATGTTTCCTACGGAAAGATAACTCTTCACTGAAGCAATCATTCTTAGTTTAATAAAAAATTCATCCCATGTTGGTGTATTGCTTTCTTCAAGAAAATAATACATATTCACTTTGTCAGTGTATGCTATATCTTATCATATTTTCAATGTTAAAGATATATTTATATAGAAATGCTATATGCTTGAATTATTTTACATTGGTGGTTTATTAACTCCACCTGTAGCTCTTCTAGAGTTACTGCCGGTCCCAAGCCCGGGTAAATGAGAAGGGTTAGGCATGGGGTCAGCGACTCCATCCCGTAGAAAACTAACTCGCTAAAAATACGCTAACCTGTTGGTTACTTCCCATAAAATATTTCATGATATCTTTGTACTATATGGAAGTAGAGGTCGAATATTAGTCTGATATAGTCGGTTGTAGGCTACGTGTTTCTTTTCCATGTCAAAGATAATAAGTTTGAATGAATTCTTTCCAATGTTATTGTATCTGGAGTTTTGAACATACAGTACAGTAAAATGGAAACAGACAAATCGTTACATATATATGTGCATACATATACATACAGAGATGTAATTATTATGAATACAAAATTACTAATACTTACATAACATTGACATTAATCAGAATACTACTAACAATAATGAAATAAGTAGACAGGTATATATATATATATATATATATATATATATATATATATACAAATGGTATACACATAAGGAAAGAGTAAAATATGAGGAAGCTGAAAAAAAAGACGGCAAAGTTGAATTGAACACAGACAAACACACACATATACACCCGTGTAAAAGAATAGACAAAGTAATGACATCTCTAATCTGTCTGCTTTTTTAAAAAGTTTGTCTGCAATCAAAACAATCCAAGGAGAAACTGACAAAACTGAAAGAAACCACGAAGAAGGAGAAAAAGTCAGTCAGTTACAACGTAGGACCAGACACATAAATGCATCACTCCAAGTTGCCAAATCTCAGAATAAGAAAAAGAGAATAAAGAAAGCGAAAAATACTTCATTTTATCAGACTGCACTTGTAAAGATAATTTTTCGATTACATACGTACGTTTATGACTAAATGTATTCAATAATCTTCTAGACAGAAAGCATCATGAATAGTATCAATGAGGAAAACACGAAATAGAAAGAGAACATAATGATCTCTTAAGAAGAAAATCCAATCGAAGAAATAATTTTAAAAAATTTCTAACCACAATCGATAACGATAGCAACAACAACGGTAGTAACAAATGAATTACCATTATCATCGTAGTTACCGACATGTATTTGATCAATAAAATAAAGAAAAAAAAGGGGTGAATTGTTTATGTTTTCAACCATGGATGAAGTTGTAAAGTTTCTTTATCACGATCACCATAATCATAGAGTAGTTCTTCACCTAGACAATAAATAAAAAAATGTAATACAAAATAAACAATAACAATGATAATTTTATTTAAATTGAATAACAATTCACTTGATATTGTTTCACTTGTATCTTCCCAGTGTTATTTAGGACTACAATTGATCAGTGCTGGGTTCGAGTCCCGGGGTGAACATCAACTCTGGGATGTAGGTATATCCAGCTGAGGAGTCCTAAATAGGACGAAACGCGCGTGGTGAATTCCAATGCTAGCCACTATCCATCATTGAATAACAATTGTTCACCAATGAACCTAAGTACATTGATACATCAATCGAGAAATCTATCTTGTAACTCATTTATTAAGTATAGATTTTAAAGAGAGCAAGAATGATAATTGGTGCAACTATGTGTATGAAATTTTTCAAAATGGGTTTCCCTGCACAGTCATTCAAGTCACTGAATCGCCTAGTGACAATGCACTACAGAATATCGAGAGAAATGATTCGACTTAAGTTTTTTGATGAATGTCTCAAGTTATGCCGTGTCTCACGTCATTGCTTAAAATCTTTACGCTCATGTAAACTTCCACCTTCGTTTAAAAATCTTCGACGCATAACAAATTCTCACATAGAATCAACAAATTTACTGGTTAAACGTTTAAGGGCAGACACTAATGCATTTGATGAATTAGTCAACGACCTAAGTATCATATGTGGCATAAAATTTATCAACTTTATCCAAGGTCTCCAAAGCAAAATATGCAAGAGTTTCCACGTAACTTTGTCAAAGACTCTGGTGGTGTCAAAGGAACACTTATAGTTTGGTTTTCCGGAAAACACCGAAAAATTTCTTTATAATCTATCAACATTCAAGTTAAAACACACAGAAACAAAAGCTTTGTCGCTTGAATTTAAATTTCATATCCCTAAAATACATACCGACAGAATCAACACAAAAACTCAATTTGAGAATTTATTTGATCAAATTAAAGAGTTGTACCCAGTTAGTGAAGAGAAGATAGGCTGGTCTAAATCTAAACTAGTTGATATCGCAAACTAATATCTCGTTTCACCTACACCACAGTTTAAACTTTTACCCAAAAATCACATAAGAGCATCACGAAATATTCAGCGAAATGACTGCACTACTCTTCGTTCTTTCTCTCTTTAAGGTAATAAAGGGGACTATGTGTATGAAAGTACAGGTTTCATGTACTAGAATGGAACCACGACTATCTACCTTTAAGTTTCATAATGTATGTATAAATTTGATCACATTTTAATCGATTCAGTGGTAATTAACATAAGAACTTGTTAAGGTCTACAGTCCAATTTATTCTACGCCCATCATACAAAATTGTGTATTGGATAATTACAATATCAACTAAGAGTACACCATCAATAGAACTTAGCATTATATATAACTGTTAATCGACTGTTGACAAGTTTAAAGTGGTCAAGAGTAGTCGATGTGTGCTTGAATTTTAATCAGTTGCGGCCCAAATAGCTAAGCAATAACGTCTCTGATCGTGAAACCAGATGACACGAGACCGATATCACCAGAGAGTAGTAGTTCCCTCCAGATTATTTATTTGAACATATAAATATTGGTACATAGGAGCACCAAATACATATGAACCATACAAGTCACCTGATTTTCTTATGGGCTGTGATACTGCTCGGGTGCCGAAACTGAAGCAGGTGGTCTTCTTAGGGGGCCACGCCACCGAGCATTCGACCTAAAGATCTGATTCAAAATACAGTGGAGCAACGTAAAGAGATGCAGTACCATGGAAGCCGGTTATCCATAATAGGTTCATACGTCATTTGTGCCCTCAGTACACTAGAGCCCATGTGCATCAATGGTTTGGGATCAGGGTTTTTCAACTCCCCTAGGTAAGTCCTCTATATTCACCAAACCAGTTAAAACGCCGGATATTCATTTTTCGTTCTCTTAATTTCGTAAAGAACAAGCCCGCTGCGAGAAAGCAGTGAGTAGGACTTCCCTGTCGGTGGCTATATATGCGTAGTCATGTGTGAGCATTTCGAGAGGAAGAGCTGATTCTCTCCATCCCCGGCCGTACCAGAGCGTTTGGGAGCTGATTAAAAGCATACCTTGCTAACTAATACCAAATAGCAAGAAACCTATGTCCAGAGTTACCGATCGACAACGTCACAGCTGACGTCAAGTAACTTGGACTGGCGGACACATTGGATGTATAGAATTCGATCAGGACTAAAGTGGGAACGACATTGGTAACTACTGAGATTTTGATGTTTTTCAATGACATTGCTTTACCAATAAAGCGATGTATAAATGGGAAGGTTCAAACCTGCGATCTGAGATCAACAGAATTCGACCATCACAAGAGACTAGAAATTCCTAAGGTAGATCAGTCGTGATTTGAATAACAGTAGAAATGTTATCCAATTGTATGATGTAGGTTTGATTCCTTGGGATAGCGACCAGCTAACTAACTAAACAACCTGGATTTCAATCCTTTTAATTATTACTATCAAATCAAGCTGTCCAATATTTACATCGTAAACCTGAAAGGTGAGTTTAAAAATTAGGATTAGGCAAGTCAGCATTATCAGTATGAAGTTGTATAGAATATTAAATTACATTAAATCCATGAACCGATCAATGTTAGACTACCACTGAAAACTTAAAATAAAAACAACTTACCAGGAGAAATTGATTTACGTGCAAATAGTGCAAGTCGAGGAACACCATCAATTGGAATTACTTTAACAATACAATTCGGTTTTAATCTACTATGATTAATTAGCCGACCAAGTCGTGAGGTCTCTTCTGTTGCATCTACACAATACCGTTGACCTCTGAAACAATAAATGATTTAATACACTTTGTGTTGAAGAAATATAATAATATATAGGCTTCATGAAACCTGTATTCCAAATGGTAGATTATAAAAGAAACACTAAGAATTTTGATTGAGATCATGAACCGATTGATGTTAGACCACTATTGAAGACCTGGAAGTACCAGACGGCCGTTCCGTCCTATTATGAGACCCCTCAATAGTGCGCACCCACAATCCCGATCGCGGGACTAGAACCCAGGGCCGTCGGCCTCGCAAGTAGACGCTTAAGCTCTAGACCAATGAACCGGCATAGAATGATGTTAATGCCTAACTTCAACCAAACCACGAAACTGCGCGACTATCTCCCATCGTACTGAGGTAGATACCTGTCTCTATCCGACACGGATTAACTCCACTGGTCACAGCTTCTCACTAGAACTCCGAAAATCCCCTCACAAAGCTAGTCATTAGTGAGCATATGGTAATAGTTTTAGAAAAAAGGATACTCAAACTCTTTTTTCAACAGATTATAGTAGTTTGGAGCGAGGTTTGTGTTTCTTTTTCAGATTTGCCAATAGATTGAGGGCTGGGTTAGATGATAGTATGGAAAATGGTAAACGTTCGGTTGAAGAGTATTGTATTATATTTCCTTGTGCAGCAAGAATCTAATAATAATAATACTTTTTGTATTTTTAAAGGAGATCAATTATTTGTCAAATTGTTCAGTGATTATTTCTAAAAACGAGGATGAAGCGGTTAATTTAAATCTTTGAAATGGATGTACTCATAATTAATAATAATTTGAGTCAGTATTAGGAACTAAACAACACAAATCAATCGAACGTAAGCAATGCAGAACTTGACATATAAATGCATCGGTTCAAACCAGTATACGAGAATAGTAAACCAATTAAACTTTATGTACATAGTTCTAAAATCATCAATGCAATTTAATTTGGGCATATACGACTGATTTCAAGACATATTACTCAAGATTTTTAATTATAGATTGAGCAGCTAACGTGAAAGCGACGACTAGAAATTCCGAAATTTTCGATATAACTAGAGATGTTATAGTTAACATGGCTATGAGTAGGTCACAGTAGAGAAATTGCATTCCATATATATAAGGCCAAGAATCAAATCGAAGGGAGATACAATGAAAATAAAGAGGACGGCAAAGACAGGTTATAGGTCAACAATAAACAATCAAGATCAATGACGAAAGGAAGGGAGATTCGAGCATTTCATTTCTATCTGAAGTTAGTGCTGATGATGTTGTTGAGACGAAGAACGAAAACTCCATGACCAAAGCATCTAATTCACAGAAACAAAAACTCCACTTAAGTTACAAATTTTCACCACCATGTCAATTAATTTGAAAGTCAAGGTTTAAATACAATAAATCTATTGTACAATATAACAATATGAGAACTTACGCATGTACAAAAAAGAACATATAAGAACCAATTGCAGGATTTTGTTTATATACAGCTTCACGTTGTTTAGCTAATTTTTCTGAGATTAAATCTCCAGCATATTCCACAACAAATTCACCTTCATAAAATGTTCGTGTAGCAATTATTCCACGACCTTTTTCTTCAGTTTGTATAATCTAATGGAAATTTCAGAATAGACAGAATACTAAATAAAAATAAAACAATTGCCATCTATGATAAACAAAATCAGTGAAAAATTCTATCTGAACTACTTAAACGTAGTGTGATGTCGGTTACAATGTTAAGCCCAAATAATTTATTCTAGCTTCTACCAGCAAACACCCTGGTACGTCCGAGAGTGGGAAGAGTCCGCTATCCCTCTCGAAATGCTCTCACACGGTCACGCGCATATAGCCTCTGAAAGGGGTGTTCTACTCACTACCTCCTCGCGGCGGGGGTGTGGTTTACGAAAATGAGAGGACGAAAAGCGAATGTCTGGCGCTTTAACCGGGCCGATGGACACGGTGAGTTCATCTAGGGAAATTGGAAAACCCTGATTCCAAACCAATGGTGCACACGGGCTCCAGTATCCTGAAGGAACAAATGGCGTATGAATCAATCGTTGGTCGCCGGCTACCATGGGACTGCATCTCCTTACGTTGCTCCACTACCTTGTGGGTCAGACTTTCAGGTCGAAGGCTCTGGGTGTGGCCCCCTAAGAAAACCACCTGCTTCGGATTGGGCACCCAGGCAGTATCACTGCCCTCACACATATCAAATGAGATTTGTATGGTGCATATGTATTTGGTGCCTCCTTCTACCAATATCTATGTCTTAAAATAAGTAAATTCTAGCTTCTAGACAGGCCAATTTATTCATTTTTCTTGAGTCACATGTCCGCCTTGTTAATTATTCGTTTATCAACCTTTACTGTTTTTACATGAGCATATCTATGGGTAAACTTATTATCCTATTCATCACGTGTCTAACTTATTTTTGTGCGACTATAAGAACGCTTAGAATAGGTCATAATGGTTCAGATTTATTCACATTTAATTTTCCCTCAATATTTCAAATTCCAGTATTCTTTCAAAAATACCTTTTCATTACATCTTATCAAACTATATTCTGTATCTTTAGTCTTTCTCATTATAATTGGGATGACAAGTTTATTCAATCTCGTTGTGATAAAATGGAATACGAAAATCGGACTAACAGATATTTGTCCCATACTCTGAGTTCATTATGACTAACTGACATGTACATAAAAAGAAAGAGAGACAGAGAGCTAAACAACAACATAATTTCAATCAGTCACTAACAACGTAGAACTTCGTACGTACGTACATCAGTTCGAGTTGCCACACCACAACATAATTTATTACACTTACTTTCATACCACTTTCAATATTGTTTTTTAAAGCATTTAAAAAATTGTTTTCACGTTCACGCTAAAAATGAAAAAAAATAGAAGTGAAGAAATTCGGAAGTTTACGAAATTAATATTTCAGTTTTTCTTAAACAATAAGTTGAAGCTCTACTTAGATATTTCACACTATGAGTTAAATACTGTGGGCGTCGGTTCGAATCCCACTCCTGACACTACACTTATGCCCCCAAATGCCCTGGTATGGCCAAGAAGGGGTGGTCCCGCCCTCCCTCTCGAAATGCTCTCACATGGCCACGCGTGTACAGCCTTTGCCAGAGAAGTCCTATTCGCTGCCTTCTCGTGGCGGGGGTGTTGTTTACGAAAACGAGAAGACGAAAAGCGAATGTCCGGCGCTTTAACCGGATTCCAAACCAATGGTGCACATGGGCTCCAGTATCCGGCGGGGACAAATGGCGTATGAACCAATCGTTGGTCACCGGCTACCATGGAACTGCATCTCCGCACGATGCTCCATTGCATTGTGGGTTAGACCTTTAGGTCAAAGGCTAGAGGTGTGGCCTCCTAAGAAAACCACCTGCTTTGGTCTGGGCACCCGGGCAGTATCAAAGCCCTCACGCAAATCGAATGATTTATGTGGTGCATATCTCTTTGGTGCCTCTTTGTACCAATATCTATGTGTTAAAAGAAAGAAACGGTCGGGTTATGGAGTCTAAAATATACGAATCTTAGTTACTGAAATGTATTAAGTAGGAATATCAGTGAAAGATGTTTGCCATTTCACTAATTTTGTAAAATTTTCGTAAGGTTGTATTTCTTCAGTCTGCAACTGGTTAAAACTCTAATAACGATGTAAAAAGCCAATAGGGTCACTTGAGAATTGTCTATCTATCGATGGGCAAGTAAATCTCTTCGTATTACTCTCGGACTTTGAACTATGTCCTATAAAGGCAGAAAACACAATAAGATTGCGATTAATTAATTATAGGTGGATTCAAATGGCTGCTCATACATGGTGGAACTGCCAAGTTAATAGCCCTGATATTGAGGTGTAGGATAGTGTATAAAAAGGTAAATGAATTAAACCTTCATAGACTAAGGCGACTGGGATATGTATTACTCTTTAACCTGATGAACAATAGTAACCAGCACCAAGGTAGTTTGGAAAAAGGCTAGGGGCAACCAAATCAAATCAGTGACTATTGATTCAAGTTGTATCGGGTGGTATAAGAATTTTCTAGTTGGAGTCCCTTTAATGGTTTCACTCAACCATTGGGGTTACGAGCTGCAACCAGTCTCTATTTGATAGAACGGTTTAAACAGATGATTAGTATGTCTACCCGAATTCATTCAGCCTAAAAATGAAGCAACCGCCATTGAATATTGTGCTTAAGAAAAGGAAGTTTTAATAGTGAAATATATTACCTCAATTTCTTTAGCATATTGTCGAGCGGTTTTTCTAATTCCATATGATGTAAGTTGTGTTTGTAATTGTGTTTTACATTTGTTTTGTTTATTCTGTGTAGCAGCATATACATCACTTGCTACGTGTGAATTCTTTTTTGGACTGACCGTTGTTGATTTACAAACGCGTGTGGTTGTTGTTGTTGTCCTTGTCTGATAAGAATTAGAAGTTGATAATTTAACAGAACCCTTTTGATCTATATCATCATTAGTGGTAGTATTGATCTGAGGTGAATCTACGCTCCGAGAACGTTTCACTTGTGATCTAATATTAAGGACAACAAATTATGTGAATATCATTGAAAACGAGGATCAATTACATAATGATACTAACTGATTAAGACTACTGAATAAATAAAAAGTAGTAAAAATATGTTTCGTTACATTTTTCAAATACTTTCTTCGAATATGGGTAGACTTAGTTACCTTCAAGGTTAAATTGAAAAAAAAGTGTGTATTACATTTAAGCTACTTAAGTGAACATACTACTGGAAGTTATAAACTATCTTTCTGTTCAATCGCATCAATATTCAAAGAAATATTTTTGTATCAGAAGGGGTTTTTGTGGATATCATAGTAAGCGTTCACGTGCGAGATTCATGGGTCCAGGGTTTGAATCTCGCAAGGCGGGATCATGGATGCGTACTGCTCAGATGTCCCACAACAGGAAGAAATGACCGACAAGTGCTTTCGGGTTTTCGATGGTTGTCTAGCTTCAGTTGACTCATAATTTCAACCATTAAAATATTTCTGTCTTCGATTTGTTTAAAATGATTAACTATGTTTGTTAATTGTATAGATGTACTCACATACTTTTATAATAAAATAATCACAGATCATCACTAAATGAAATATTTTATGAACTCAGATCGACGAACAACAGTGATCAGAGTATAGCTTTTTTATTGTATCATTAGGTCAATGGATCTAGGTTATCACTATCTGGATAATTATAATTTCCTGGTTGAAGCCCATGGAATACTTGTAATTCATGAGTGAAGAAAGTGGATGACATGATGGGAAACTGGTCACAATGACAGCCGTATTCACTCTCCATCATTTCCGACTTTCTATCTATCAATAGTATTGATTCCGTTTTGGACTAAAGTTTTTATATTCATGTTTCCATTATTTTATACTACTTCTCGTCTCATTAATTTTCTTCCGTTTCAATGACATGAAGTGCGGTAACGTGGGAATGCCATACACTTGCACTACATGTAACATACAGTCCTTCATTACGTAGAGATTATGAAAAGTATAAATTTTACCAAAAGATTTCAAAAGTTTTGTAAAAACGAGGGACTGATAATAGTCAACCAAAGTCAGTATAACCCCCATGATGGTTAAACCGAGAGACTTTGAAAAATAAAATGCGATATATGTGACATTCTAGAAATCCTAGTACAAAACAGTAATGATGATGATCCTTGGTAGGATGAGATAACTTTATTTGTGCGGGGATTACTTAACTGCGTAACCAGACACCCTTTTACTGATAACTTGTTTATTAAGCACATGTTCATGTTTAACGGTTTACATTCGAGGTCGACTCCGGTTAGACAACCGTTGAAAAACAGTAAAGAGTGGACAGCCGTTTCGTTTTTATATAAGACTCCTCAGCAGCGTCCATACATCACCCTACCGGCAGTCAAACGCAGAGCCTTCATTCCTTGTGGCCAGTACCCAACCTTTGGAGCACTAAACGGGCAACCGATGGTTTACATGTGTAACTTCAATAAACTTGCAGTGTTTAGTAACTACTTTTAAATACTATTGGTGACTAATTGTCTCACACGCAACATGCATACGCGTTTAGATTTGAGTCATATTGTTTATATGAAGGGGTAGTGACACTACCCTGTTACCCAAACTGAAATAAGTGGAGTTGATTTCGGACATAATGAATAATATTTTTATTAGCTACTAATAAATGAAAATGTAGAATTTAGCTATAGACATATCTCTCAAATTAATCACTATTGCTTCAACTCACAACTTACATATGATCCCTTTTGTATCAACGTAAACTCTTCCCCAACTAAAGATTGTACATCAAAGAAGGTGGTGAGGTAGGGGTGAATAAAACGCTTTCCAATCACTTTGGATGACGAAAGTTTGTGGTCACATAAACCAACTTACAACTTCCATCGAAAAATGAATGCCGAACATTAATCTAATTCATGGTTATAATCAAGTATTTGCAATTTTCCTAATGTTCCTTATTAATAGAGCAGTGGAGACTGTTGTGCTATGCACTCAATCTGAACGTCATCTACTTCACAGATGACATAATTTAGTAGTAATCATATACTTAAAAATATGAGATGTAAAAAAAACCCACTTTTTATTAGTGCCAGCTTTCTTCTTTCTGATCGGTTTCTTGAATACATTTTCCGCCGGTGAAATCCCTGTTTCAGTTATGATAGCCTGTTTCATTATTCGCGTAGGGCTAGTAATGATGGACTTTGGAGATTTGTTCAAAGACTCAGCAGTTGAGATTGATGGTGGTTCAAGTTTAATGGAAGTTTGAGGATATGAATTATGTTCATTTGATTTCAAAGAAGCATTTTCATTAGTAATCCGATTAGTGTTATCAAGTTCGATACCATCTGTAACATTTTCAAATTGTTTAGACAGTTTCGTTTGGTGATTTGGTGAGAAATTTAATTGAGTTTGTCGTAGACCAGGTGATGAACTATTACATGAGTGTTTCTTAGAATAGGAGTTTTCAAGAGAGGATAAATCTTCCCATTTCAATGCATATGATTGAGAACTGACTTTAACTGAATTCATTATAGATCTATAACAAAAGAAGATTGAACATTAACATTATTAACAAATCTGAATATGATAAAGAGAAATATATGAGTAACAACAGAGAACAAACTCAACAGGAGAATTTATTCTATTTATGAAACGCAAATTCGTGAAATCAACCAGAAAGAGCTATAAATGCCCCCAAGTGCCCTGGTACAGCCAAGAGTGGACAAAGTTAGCTCTCCCTCTCAAAATGCTCGCACATGGCCGCGCATATACAACCAATGACAAGGAAGCCTTATTTACTGTCTTTTCGCGGCGGGTGTGTTCTTCATGAAATTTAGAGGATGAAAACCGAATTTCTTTTGCCTTCACTAGGTTAATGGATATAGAGGATCCATCTAGAGGATTCGGAAAACCCTGATTAGAAACAAATCAGTCAGTCAGTCAGCTACAACGTAGGACCAGGCACATATATGCGCCGGTTCAAGTTGCCATACCTCATTAACACAACAAGATGAACACCGGATTCATAAAAGTAGTTAATTCAGAGGTGGTAATATATAAAAGAAAGATTGCAACAAGGATATAGTACAGGAAGAAAGAATTAGTTCGTAGAAAGATATAAGGTAACTTCAATCTCACGGTTTAACTGAAGACAAAGAGTGTTATAGACCTAAGCCATTGTGATCGATTCTGACCCATGTCACCCAGAGTCCCTAACCATTGGTTACGACAGTCATGCGGACCCTAACCAAGTAGTCTGCATCTACCAACATGGCTAAGACTAAAAGTTAGTGACTTCAAGCACTGATGCCACGTTTTGAATTGGCCACCTCTAACTTTCTTCCAACCGTCCCCATTACTAATCAGCATCGAGTGTCGTGGTACTCAGTGTTCAGGCATACGTAACACGTGGCCCAACCATCTCAGTCGATGAAAATTCACAACCTCATTAACTGATTTACCATCATTCCCTATTACCCTGCATCCAACCTCACTATTACTTACCCAGTGATTCCAGCAGACGCCAGCAATATTTCTAAGGCATCTGTGGTCAAACACTAATAGCTTACAAGTGTCTTCTACTCTTAATGACCATGTTTCGCTGCCGTAAATTAAAACAGAATGGACTGCCGCGCAGTATACTCTTCTTTTTATTGATAGACGGATATCCCGTCTTCGCCATAGGTGACGTAAGTTGGCAAAAGCCAAGCGAGCTTTTCGAATCCGTGCTGAGATTTCGTCAAACACCAACCCATTAGGGCTGATCAGACTTCCAAGATGAGTGAAGTTGTCAAGGCGTTCGACTACTTCACTCCCTATCCTTAGTTCAGGTGTTGACGCAGACCAGTCCTGAAGCAGATAGTGCACATGAACTCCATAATCGCGAAGAAACAAATAACTTACGAATCTATTAATGGTCAACAACTACCACTGGAGTGAATCTCCTAAAGTTGATCCACTGCCTTGTGGATTAAACCATCAGGTCAATGGCTCGGGGAGTTACCCTCTAAGAAAAGCACCTACTTCCGCTTGGGCACCCTGGCAGTATCACATCCCTCACAAAAAATTACTACTACTGACCTCATTGTTATTGTGCTACTTATGAGCAGATAGTCTAGCGGTGGTGAGTGAAGCACTTAACGTTCAGCTATTGAGCCGAATATTGAGTCAGCTTGTCATATGCAGCGCAGAGCCTGATACTTATGCGCTACCTCAAATAGTCACATCTCATTAGCACAGTGAGGAAAAACAATCAAGACAAATCCCGAATGTATAGAGGTAGAAAAAGTATCAGTAGTAGCAAAGAAGATAGGGTCTAGTAAAAGAGGGGAAAAACTGCACAAGATCCGTTCCAGCCTTTCTATTTACTAGTCAACATAGATCAGTGAGATACGTGATGGTTGGACACAAGTAATATATACCCCAACCATTTCAATCAACAAACAATTACAGCCCTATCGGCCGACTTAGCATATTTAACAAGTACCCTATGCCTAACTCCAGCATTGCTCATTCGATGATTGAATACTAGTAACTTACGAAAATCCTTTATTTCCAACAGATATGCTTCACACTCAATAAATAACGAGCAAACTGCTACCCAGTTAACTCGTCCGTTTGTTGGAGGAAGGATATCTGGCTTACATCACAAATGACCCAGATTGGTAAAGGTCAACCGGGTACAATCAAAACCAGCTCATCAGGGCTGAGAATACTGAGATGAGTAAGATGGTTGGAGCACTCAACTACTCTACTGTTATTAATTTAGGCGTCGATGAAGGGTATTTCTGAAGCAACATTTTACACTGAGGGAGAAATGCATCCCAACCATGCTTGCATTGTTGTTTTAAGTAATCAGAAGGCTGTATTTTTTCAGCATCTCCACCAAACATAAATACGTCATCTGCGTATTTTAGGTCTAGTAGAAAATCTCTCGGTAGATCAACGCTTGAAAGTTAGACGATGAGAGCATCATCTCTAAAAGAATGTTTATGACGAAGTTAAATAAAAATAGGGAAAGTGGGCAGTCCTGAAGAAAAAAGAGATCACCATAAGTTTTGAATTGATTATTAGTGTTCACACAGATAGATTGTACAAGGTTGATGTACCTCGGTATCCCTTTTAATAACAGATCTAGTCACATAACCTCATAAACAACCGAGTTGAATGCTGTCTTAAGATTAAGGAATACAATTATAGTCGAAAGCCAAAAGTATGGTAATGCCCTAAAACTTGACGAAGAGTGAACATCTGGTTTATACATCCACGTTTAGTTCTGAAACCATCTTGGCGTCCCTGAGTTTGCTCTTCACAAGCTCTAACCAATCGATGGGTTATCATAGAGGCCAGAATTTTACACACTATTGGTTGAACTGATTTTTCGGTGGTTTTTACGGACTTAGATCGTCAGAGATCGAGGCAAATCAGATGGATTTACAACTGAACAGTCGCTTAGATTGCTCTACCTATATGTTTCATCTACTGGACTGAGTGAATAATGATCTTTATTCAAAATTACCCTCACTAACGGTCAGATTTCTAATACTTGTCTCACTGATGAGTCTGGACAGTTGTTTACAGTAACCAATCATCTTTTCGTTTTAATAACTACGACTGCTTACAACCATCACCTAAGCTTTTAGAATACATTAAAACCCTGTAGCGCACACTTCAAGACACTGAATCAAAGTATGAAACCTGTGGATTTTAGTTTCAGGCGTGCTTGGAGACGCAAATACCTTAACTAGAGTTGGTGAAACTAAGACCCGCATTTTCAGGGACTAGTGATACTGACCAGTTGCCATAATGGGAGCACAAGGACTAACGACCAAAACCAAGAACCTGTATAGAGTGAAAGTACATGCACAAACAAGCGACTGCACTAAGGATAAGATCATTCCCAACATATTTATATACACTGTCCTGTAAATCGATGTATATGAAACACGAAATTCCTCTTCAATCAGTATGACTTTACCAGAACCTTGAAACTACTTTGGCATCAGAAGTATGGGGACGTAAAAGGCTTAAAAAGTAAACAAGGACTGTCTCACAATTTTTGAAACGCTATTTCGCTAGGACATTCATTAGGTTACAAAATGAGAACGTCCCAGAACAGAAAATAATACATGACAGTTAGCTAGAATAAACTTAATGCATACATGTAATTGGAATGCTTCAATTATATGGAATTGTTGCAATCATCCTATATACATATTGGGCAACAAAGGGCCACAAGGAATTCCAATTCAAATGCGAATTGACCTTGAAATAAATTAGCGTGATTTAGTAAAACAAAAACAAACAGTATCTGGCAGTGAAATAAATGAAACCAAATTACTATTAATTCATTTTGTACTGTGAAGTTTCTTTTTTGAGTCTACGTAATCGCAGTTGATTATCGCACAATTATGAATTGTATCATTCCTAACGGATAATGCTATACGAAAAGGAAATAACTCGAGACATTCGAAATTTTCAAAAGTTATGTAAGGAAAGGAGGAAGAATATATTGCAAGATTATAAGAATGAAGAAAAAGTAAGTTCGTCAATTTTTTGTTACATGGTGTTCAGGATTTAAATGAACACTTTCACAGGAATTACAGAGAATTAGTTAAATCTCATAAGAAACAGTTGGGCGATCTTCAGTCGAAGGTTGAGAAAAATAAAAGAAAATTCAGGCGGCAGCTAGAATGTGAACTGGTTAGTCAACTAAATATTCGTCTAATAAGTTTCATATTCCTGTTGTTTTTTTTTAATTTTGTTAAAATGATGTTCGGGTATTTTCCTTTATGGAGTATAATAAAAGAAATTTAATTGACTTTCTCCATACATTTGTAACCGTTCAAATGTTATATTAAATACACACAAGACAATTTTCTTTGGATTTATCATTCATCAAGTCCACATTAGGAATTTATCATCTTTTTAGATAATTCAGTTTAAATATACCTTACGTTCAAATTGTAGAGAGGCCTATAGATTTTGTATAGCAAATACACTTGAACAACTAACAGTATCCCATTATCTCTGAAAGATAGTCTTGTAATTTATGTTACACTATTTTTAGTTTCAAAAAATCATGTAAATTATTTAGGATATATTCTCGTGTACAGATCCAATGATGGCAATTAGTGTGCATTTTATGACCGATATAAATGTTAAATTTCATCGTAAAAGTTTATTATTATTTTATATAAAACATTAACCAGTCAATTTCCCGAAAGTTATTATGACCATCAAGGTTATTCAAAGCTTTGTGATCTATTTAAATTAAGTTTAAACAATCAACTATTCTCTTTTATTTTTATTATTTTCCAAATTACCACTTTTATGAAACACTAAAATGTATATATAAATGCCAAATAGCTGGTCACAAACACTTCTGTTCATTTCAATGTATTTCTCATTGAGCTTTATAATTAAAATCCTAAGATATAGTACTGAAGAGTCTATAAATCTTTATTAGTTCATGAATAGGACATTATTGTCTACAGAATGTAGTAACTCATTTACAGTTAAGTGACTTATTTTTTTTATAGGTGAGCTGTATTATATTATATGAATAAAGCTGTATAACAATGCTATTAATTAAGGGTTAGGGTAAAGGAAGAGTTTAACCCAGTGAAGTGTATGATATTTATTCACCACAGTGAAAATAAAACTGTTGCACAGTATCACGAATCGATGGAAGTTAGACAACTACACGATTGGTTACGAGTTCAGTGACCCAAACGTTAAGTATTCACACTTTAGAATAACAGACCTGAGTTCGACCCATCATGGTATGTTTTTGGATACACACTACTAGGAAGTTCTCTACTAGTACAAGATAGGTTTTCAATCCATTCCTGTTTTCATCACAAACTGACATCAGCTATAATGTTAAAACTCTATGAGTGAGTAAAATTACGTGCCCAAATCCGAGATTTGTTACCTTATACCTGACTGGTTTGTCCATAAATTATAGTCTCACTATCTATTGTTTGTTTAAAAGTTAAAAGTTAAGCGTGAAAGTTGATGATGATTTCCATGAAAGTAGATTATTATTATTATTATTGACATTTTTTTCAACAGCCGAATAAAGTCAATTAATAACCAATTAACAGATAGAATAAACCAATGTACATTTTCAATATTAATGTCTAGTAGTTGAATTTATATATAGCAGATCATTTAAGCACTAAGATAAATCTTGACAGTTTTATTTTTGAAAGATACTAGCTGATTGATCTAGAAGTTAGGCGTTTGTGGGTGAGACTCATCGTCCTGAATTCGATTCCTGTGTGAGGAGTAATGGCTGTTCACTTCTGAAAAGTCGTGTAGTAGGATGAAACGGCTGTTCAGTGCTTTATGATTTCAATAAAATACAACAATCCCCACAACCCTAAATTGATACACACAAAGAAATCCAAGAGTACAATGAATTCAAACTAATGTGTATGATAATTCAAATGATATTTAAAATTATAATCAGCATGGAGTTTATGGAGATTGTAATAATTTTCCTAATTGAATTCATGAGTCAATCCAAGCTAGATCATCATTGGAAAACCTGGAAGTACTTGACGGCCATTTCGTCCTAATATGGGACTCCTCAGAAATGCACATTTAAAGTTCACGAAGTAGCATTCTTCCACAGCCAGATTAAACTATAAAAAATCTGATATAACTAATGTATATAACATTCTAAATTGTTCTAAGTTGAGAGCTATCAAATGTATGTTTGATTGGAAAAATTGTTTCCTCCAACTTCCTCACTACACTTCACAATCATTTTTGCACTGAAATACTTAAAATTAGGAATACACCTAAAATATTTCACGAATAAACTCCAATTTTTCATTTAAGAAAAGAGGTAAAAAAACTTGTTGCTAAGGCTAAAATTACAATCAATAAATTACAATCAGTCATGTCAATAAAATGAACATTAAGTGAAATGTTATGTCGGTTTGAATGAGACAAGTTAAATGAATATAATATGTATTGAATACAATCTCTAAATTGGATTGATCTCTACAAAACCCCTTTAATTATAACTATGATAGTCAGTTCTTTTATGATCTACTTCAAGATTACTTGAAATCATGGTGAGAAGTCATGACTGATAATTTAATTACTCATTAAACATTTGAGTATGAGCCACACTTAATTTGTGAATGGTATTCGTATTAACTAATTAAAGTAGGTGGAAAGACGCTTGGATCTGTAACTCAGTGACTGAAAGTCGAACGCTTTGACTAGTAAACCACCTCTCCAAATCTTAATTAGTAGAGTTTAGACATTTGGCATTGAAACACTTAATTGTCACATTATTGAACGGTCGTCTCATTGTGTCACAATTTGATTGACTATTAACTTAAGGGTTTGAATGATTTACTATAAAACATGAAGATTATGGGTTTAACCTCTGTTAGGATGTGGAGTGAGCGACACTGAGGAGTTACACACTAAGACGAAACAACTGTTCTGTCTCCCTGATTTTAAATGTCATTACAATCAGATTAGTTTGTGATGAATCTTATAAAATAAACTGATCACCAAGAAACATTCTCTAGTTAAAACTATAGCGACCGAAATGTTGCTTATAATAACAATAAGTAATTCAAGTAGATTGAAAAAGATAAATTTTCAAGTTTAGACGGTAACAAGAGAAGGAGAGAGAGAAATATGCATAAAAGTAGATTGAAAGGTGACAAGAGTTTACCCTTTTTATGTCTTATGTATGAGGTAGAGAAATAACACAGCCTAAGAAAATGATAATCTGTAAGATAATAACAGTAAATTTGTTTGTAAGGTAAGATAAACTGGATTCAGTTCACTCCATGGCTACATTCTCTGTTGTTATTCTTATATTAAAAAAAGTTTTTCAAGACAGATCATTCATATTAATTGCAGAAGTAGTAATGATCTAACCATAATTAACAGTAATATGATACTACTAATAGTCATATTATTAACAATAGTAGTATCAATGATAATGATTCAAGATGATGATTAAGAAAACTAATGTGACAGGAGGTCAAATGTCCTCTGAGTGTTATTGTGTTGAAATTAAATGATATAAGAAATGTATGGATAGTACTTGTATTGGTTAACATGTACAATTGAAACATGAACAAGAAACCTTAAATAGGAATATTCCATCAATAAAGACAATCTCAAGTGAAACCTTGATGGTTTTTTTAAAATTTAATGGTTAACTTATTTCATGCTTATTGGTTAATATAAATGCATAAATTGAAATCATGAGTCAATTATAGCTAAACAACCATGGAAAACCAGGAAGCACTGGAAGGCCGTTCCGGCCCGGTATGGAATTCCTCAGCGGTGCCCATCCACGATCCCGCACTCCGAGAAATCCGAACACAGGACCTGTCAGTCTCGCGCCAAGAGCTTAGCCAACTAGACCACTGAGCCGGTATCCAATGGTGTTAATGTCTAACTTCAACCAATCTACGAAGTTACGACACCGTATACCATTGTCATCAGTGAGCTGATATCTCACAACAGACCTGGTTGAACTCCACTGCTGAGGAGTCCTACACTGAGACGAAACAGCCGTCCAGTGCTTCCAGGTTTTCCATGGTGGTCTAGCTTCAATTGACTCATGATTTCAATCTGTGAAATTTCTAATATTTCCACAAACCCCTTCTGATAATATAAATGTAATTGAACTTAATATATTACTGAAATAAATGATATGACTACTAATAGCACTGTTAAACCGTCTAGGGATATCCAGCATCTAATTTTCTTAGGTATAACTCTCTTTTACTCTTCTGAAGTATATGATATCAGATAAATTGGTAATATAGATAAATGCAGTTGGAGATAACCTTTTGAGTAAATTTCTAGTTCAATTTTATGTTGAATAAATCAATCAGACGTCAAAGTTTTAAGATTACTGTCATTTTGTCAACAATTACTTGTTGACGTCTGTTACTCCAACCATCAGCATTCTTCATTCAATTTGATCGACTAATTACTCTCTGCAATCATGAGAATCCCATTCATTTCAAGGGTGGTAGCTGATTATGATGTTACATTTTCAAATAAAAGTGTATGGTAAAGAACTTTGCTGAATAATTGCTGCTAATCAATCAATTACAAGAAGGTATTGGTTAAAACACTATTTTATAGGGTAGAAAAGATATGTACCACCGACAAACAGAAAGAAGAATTGATGAACGTGGAAAAATGCCTAAAAGATTACTTTTACCCACAAAAATTTATTGACATATATAATAAGCCCAAAG